TATTTTAAAAAAGAGCTCCAAAATATAACTAAATATATTTTTTAAATAGTAAATACATTATTGAAATAAAAATTACGCACCCGGCTGGAATTGTTTGATTAGTACAAAACTCGAGATTCCACTATGTCTCAAATAGGTATGTCATTGATTACAGTTGTGGCCTGATTGAATACCAAGTAATACTATCAGAGTGCCTTGAAATCGCTAACCTATTAAAAGGCTGGAAGAGTCTCGCTGTTTACAATTTTCTGTGTGCCTATTATTTGGAGGTTTTCGAATGCCAGGGATGCGTATATGATGCAGTCAAAAATATCATGCGTACCTGATAAAATTTCAGAAAGGACACGATGATCGCTTCGCCGAATTGCTCGCCATCTGGGCCATTCTATTCTGACTATGAGGTTGTGTATAGTGCAATGGATATTAGGGCACAGATACTCGGCTGCCAGGCTTTGGACACCTCAGCCACCATCGAATATCGCGAGATAAGCACGAACAGTTGCATCGGGGTCTTTATTCATCTTCTAGAGATAGATGGCTCACTATAGAATCCTATCTCTTCCCGTACTATTGGCAGGCGACTAACAGTGGCAAATTTGCATTCACGGCAACTGTTACGCATCCTGCCGTTAGCACCCGTATATTGTTGGCTTCGTTTGCAGTAGTGCCGTGACAGAGAAGTATGGACTGTACAGACTAAAAGCACTTTCCTTTACGACGAATCCCAGTTTTGTTTGGAAACAGCTGACCACAGTGTAAAAGTGTAGAGGTTCACTGATGAGAGCTTCGATCCTGTCTTTACTGTTGAATGACACATTGTTCTACTGCTGACGTGGTCTGGAGAGCCATCTCTTGTGACATTCGATCACCTCTAGAAGTGATACGAGGAACATTCATAGCGCAGCGGTACACTCAAAAAATCCTATATCCTTATATGTTGCTTCTACGGCAAGGTTGCCATTTTCCAGCAAGATAACGCTCGGCGGTACACAGTTAGGGTTTTCTACGAATGTCTCCCTTACCTTGCCACACTTGTTTGACCTGCCCGATATTCAGATTTGTCGCCCATCGAGCATTTGTGGGATAAGATGAGACTGAAGCTTCGGCCATCTATTAATGAGAGATACTGTATATGGAAAGGCAGTTGTAATATCTGTGGGAAACTGCTGCAGGATCTGGATTCTAGATCGTTGTCCCTTTGCTATGATTTTGTAATTATTAGTTATTACAGTTGCACTAATAAAGTTTTATTCGATTTCACCACCTTCCTCATGCGTAACTTTTTTTGTCAATGAGTTATATAAAAGTACACATAACAGTTACATAATATAATACTGTATCAAGAATATAATAGGATTTAATAATAATATTAAAGAAGATAATACAATGAAAACTTTAAATTAATTAAATCTCTAAGCTTTGTACGTTGTCATTTGGAAAGAATGGTTTTAAATGAATTAGTTAAATTGATTTTTATTATATTTGAATTAAATCAATATATAAATATTTTAATTTTATAACTTATCATTTTTCCTGAAAAAGATTTTGTTAATTCCATTAATTTAATAAATCAATTTTAATATTGGCATATCGATCTTTAGTAGAGAACAAATCTACTTGAAAGAAACACTTATTGAATCAGTAAAAATAATTTTTAAAATATGTTTTTTAATATTCTATAGTTATAACAATTATATAAGATAGACAAAAAGAATCTTGATTTAGTAATAAAAGTATTTATATAAGGGTCTAGATGTTCACTGGGTATTAAAAATTTGTAAATATGGATCTATATCAAGAGTATAGCCTACTTTTCAGAATTTCGTATAATATTTATCTAGCAAATTGAAGTGTTGTGAATTAAAGAATACCCTTATAAGTAATATAGGCCATGTGTTGAGTGCATCTGATAGCATTAACATGTATTTTCATGTTAACATCTCGTAAGTCAAAGATTAAGTTTGTCGAATAATGCCTTTGATATAGAATTACAGATATTATCATTTGACTAAAATTTTTCCCAATTGATTCGGTTGATTCCGAGATAACTTTAATATGTTACGTCCCATAGAGACAACTTCAAATATTTAAGATAATAAGGCAATTTAAAATTATCGCTCAATCAAACTTTTCTTTTCCTTTAGTTAATAACATTTTAACAAAAACTTTTAATCATAGAAATCAAAATGAAATGCAAATGATCTTTAAATTTCATGCAAAAGCTAGTAGCCTAGATTCATTTAAATTAATTTTTATTCTTTTTCTTAATTAATCTTATTTATTTAAAGGAATTTTAACGCCTACTTAATTCGAATATTTAAAAATTCGTGTTTAAAACATACAGACCTAAAGACGAATCTTGTCAAAATAAAGAACTATATCACGTAATTATAAAAATGTTTGAAGGACTACTATTTGAGATGTAACTACTACTTACAAAATATACGCCGAAATAAGTTAGTAAAATATTTAATAAATATTTAGATGTTAATAATTTGTATTATTTTTATATGATTTAATACATGTTTATTTTTAATTTGTATTTTCTGGAATTTTTCGGGGATATATCGAACTCATCCCTCACCATTCTTTTTTCGGGACTTGTCTGAACTCACTAGAGGCTTGATAAAAGGCTCTCTGAATGTATACAAGACGAAAATAAAAAAAACCTTGTTATAATTAATAGAATTTCATAAATTTTATAACTGAGTAATGTGATAACGTAAAATGGAATTACTTTGAATTTAAGACATGTTTTCGAACTTTTTGTTAGGATATTCATTGTCACTGTTCAAAAATTTATACGTAATAAATATTTCACATTATTTAAATACTTTATTATCGTCTTTACTTTAATAAACTGTTTTAAATTATTTTTACATCAATTTTTTTTCCTAAAAATCTGATTTTAAAAGTCAGAATGCATAATTAAATTCGATTTACTGTACTTCCTAGATTCGGATCATTCTTCTAAAGTCGTCGTGTAATGAATAGTGTATAGTATTTTCTGTTTGTTGTCTTTTATTTTAAATACATTATTAACGTTTTTAATTTTTAATAAATTCTTTTAAACTAGATTTACTTCTAATTACCATCATATTTTTTCAAAGTATACAGTAGTTTTATACTCTGGAAGTACCTTAAATTCGAAATTTTTATTTTTATTAATATAATAAATTAGTAATTATTTTTATAACGCTTTAAACTTCTATTTCCACTTTCTTAAATAATTGTAATTTAATATTTTATAATGATTTTCAATATTTTATTGTTCTTTCGATGAAAAGATTTTAAGCTTTTTCCAATAGCGAATGAATCTCGTCACGCTCACAAAATAATATTTTTAATAGTAATTTGAGGAGTTTTTCGACATAAAAGTAAAATACTAGAGCCGATTAAAGATTAATAAGTATTAAATATTTATGAGACTATAAACTCATTAGTTTTAAATACCTTTATGTAAGTCAGGAACGAGTCAAATCGAACATTAACATACTTTTTACCCGTTATATAGACTTATATACATATAAAAAAAAAATCTTACTTAATAATTAAATCGTTGTAGTAAAGTGCTTTCTTCTATATAAAAAAATAATATAGTTTCTATTTTTAAGAATTTATTTAAGGTAACGCAGAAAAAGAGAATCGAATCTAAAAGCTTATTAATGCATAACTAAATGGGACAAGTTTCAAGAGTTTTATCGAACGGATACGACTAAAAAAGATTTTTGAAAGTCCAATCTAACACAAGAAGTCATTCTAAAATAGACTTGATTCGATACTCGATGTACTATAGTCTGACTCGATCGCTTTTTCCTAATTTGGTCTGTCAGGTCGATTTCGAGCGTTTACATTAGTCTCTAACATCATTTCTTCCGAAAGGAGCCCGCATCACTCCGATCTTTTCCTATTTTTATTATTATTTTTTCCTCCCCTCCCTTTTTTTCAACATTTTATATTATGATTTCTCCTTATCTTATTATAATATTTAATAATAATATAATTTAGTTATATTTTAACTTATTTTATTAAAATTAATTAAACTTATACATTTTTTATATAACTTACTAATTTGTTTAAACTCTAAATTAATTCGTTGATGTGAAATTTAATAAATTAACTTTTTATACGGTAATTATATTTAATATTTAATTAAAAACACATATATCTTAGAAAAAAATGCCTTTTAAGATAAGATTTATTTTAGAATTTTTAATAATTAAAAGGTATTAGAGATGGGAATAAAGTAGTAATAGAGATATACAGTAAATAATGTGAAGCTGTAGAAGAGAAATGCGTGATAAGAGTGAATCTATAGACGATGTTGAGAAAAACTAAGTAGTTTCAAAGTATTTCAATAAATTATATTAAACTAATTTAAATAGCAAATGTGATTAAACTGAGTCAAAAAATAACTTTGAAGTTTAGTTATTAACTTATATATAAGATACTTTCTATGAGAAAATTCACAGTTGCCGCTTAAATTAACCGTCTTACTCAATGTGTTGGAATAAAATGGTTAATTTTCTTGTAATATTTTTTTAAAATTCAGTATTCATGAATATTTTGAGAAGAAAAAATTTTTACTTAATGTAAGATCATTACATCTTGATAATATATATGTAAGATATTACTTTTTCAAGTAGTAAATTTCTTTTTATTATGTAGTAAACCAAAATAGGTCTATAAGTCTTCGTGCCTCTATTAAACAGATGATGATAACATAACTTGTAAGTCAAATGCGAGTTTATATAGAGTATAATAATAACCTATAGAATAATCCACTTCTAAAAATTAATGATATTCGTGGACGTACATACATTACATACAAATAATGATAATATATATATGTACATTAAAATATATAAAAATAGTTTAATGTTATTGCTTATTTTAAGTAAAAAATAAATTGCATGTATATTTTGTTTTTCTTCTAGAGTTTTATCAGATACTTGTAAAAGGTTAACAGCAATTTGATGGTTTTATTACTTTTATTTCAGTGGAAGCCCAGTCTGAATCCTTTTGTTGTCGAGAAGACGGCTGTAATGAGGGTACGATGATAAAATCTGCGGTGGTTGTCGTAGTAACTACTCTTGTGACCGCTGCTCTAAATTTCCTGAGGCATTAAGCCTTCGAATCTAGTGGAATGGAACACAAGATAATTGGGGACCTGGGAGGGATTTGGATACTGAAAACAGTACCACAAGAACATATAGAGAAAGACAAAACAGCGGACACAAAATCATGTATCAAAATATGCCTAAACTCAAGCCATCGTATGAAAATAGAGTCAGTTTTTATTAAGCATGCCCGTTTTCTATATATATTTCACCAATTTCAAAATATAGATGAAAATTAACAATGGATAATTGTATAAGGACTAAATGCTAAACGCCTCTAGTGTGTTAGTTATCCATTTAAATAAGATAATCGTTAGTTTATATTCTTTCGAGGAAAAAATATCAGGAGAAGTTATCGAAATAATTCTTTCAAAATTAAAAAAAAAGTAAATAAATTACAAAAGAATTCATCGGAGTTTGATCATTTGCTCTCTCTGTATCTATCTTTTATCCTTTATTATTGCTTTATTTGGAAATGGAACGAGGTGATACTGTAGATATCAAGCACACACTTAATAGAACAATAGTTATATGCTGTAATTCACTTAGCTTTGCAAAACTTCATCACTTGTTCGACTATATACATCTTAATTGTTCGTAGAGTCACTTTTTCCAAATGTTGTGCTAATTACGGATATTCGAAATAGCAGAACGAAATAGACATGTTGATGTACATATAATTTATACATTTAACTGGAATTAAATTAGATGAATGTAAAGTCTATTATTCTATTCGTTGTTGTTACCTTACTATTGTCGATGTATAACATAGAACGAGACCAAAAATACATATTTCAACGACCAGTTTATTTATATTTATACAGCAATTAGAGCAGACTGAGAATTTTTAATTAAAATCTACATTTATTGCATGACGACGTTTCGTGAATTTTATACTCGCACACGTTTTAATAATACACGAAATTATTATTTAAATATTGTAAATTTCGGTAATTATTATTTAAGAAAATAATTTTTTAAATCATTTAATAACGGTTAATTCTATTCTCTAGTGATAATTTCTTTTTTGAAAGGGGAAAAAAATCCAGTTATCACGGAAAGCCATTTCAAGAAGATTGTTCATCCAGATCGCAATTAAATATTCATCGCAAACTTAAAGTCATTTATTAAGCGTTTCCAACTTTTACTCGAACATTTTTCTTGAAAAATTAAGCTTCTTGAAATTTTATGTCCAATCGATATTAGCCTGACACAACACGATGGCAGAAACCACCAGATCTGATATACTAACCACATAAGGCCCTTCATCTGAACCATTTAATTTGGCTGATATTATAGGAAGAACCCATTAAGTATTGTTGAATAGGATCGATACTTTGAAAATGAACTGCTTTGACTCTTTCCTAATCCCTTCTCTTTTCGTTTTGATCTGCCTAATAACAATTTATTTTTCAATCCAAGATGCATCTACACTTTTCTCTTATTCACGTACGAAATTATTTTTAAATGGAAATATTGTTTAATTAATTAAATTCAATTATTATTATTTCAAATAAAAGAAGCCTGCTACTAAATATTTTTAATGTTTTTTTTTTCTATGTAAATCTGCGAAATTTTTTACTTTATAAACAATAATTCTAACGTCTTAAGTTGGAATCTTTGCATTAAAATTGAAATTAATGAATATTTTACAATTCAATATCATTAAATGAATAAAGAAAAACTTTTTAAGTAGGTGGTGTCAAATATTTAAGAAAAAAAATTGAACTTGACTACTTATCGACCGCTGATATCGGTTCTTTCATCATAAGGTTAGGATCGATAACAACATACTTAAATTGTTCGAAGAAATTAGAAATAAAGAAATTTATAAATTTCGTGTTATTCTTTCTCCTTTTTTTTCATTTCCTTTATAACCAATTTCAATAAAAAAAATGGGATTTGAATATAAAAATGCATTACTTTTCTTTTATTCAATGGAAATTTATGCTAAAAATTGTGTTTTCGTGTGTCGAATTTACACGTTTATTAATAAAATTTAATTATAAAATAATTTTAAATTTATTTTACTCCCGGAGAAGAAAAATTCTTCCGTGTTTATATCATGTTCAATCTGTTTAATTTGATAAATTTCAAAGGGATTTTACTTAAACCGATGTGTTCATGTTTTTACAATTTGTTATATAATATAGAATAATATATGCATTTTTTTTTTTTATTTATAACAAAACTGTTTTCAATCAAAATATTCAAATCGTGCCTCTTTCGATATATAATGCATTTAATGTAGCATTATAATCAATTCCATTTAAAGTGAATCGGAGAATTTTTCTACTCGCTTCTATTTAAAGGATCGTGAATTTTTCGTTTAAAATATGCAGAAAATTTTCGATATTTTTCTCTTTTTTTAATTCAAAATGATTATAATACGCTTTATGAATAAATTTATTATTTCACAAGCAACGAAACATTGAAAAGATTAATAAAAATAATTAATTTAAATTTCAAACGTGTAATTTAATTTTATTACTACTTAATTATAAATCTAGAAAAATTGATAATCGATACGTTTAAAATAAGCCGATACATTTTCAAAATGGGAAGATCCTATTCATCTATAAAAATCGGTAGCTTCTTTCATTACAAGAAAGATAAAATTTGTCAAATATATATAAAATCATATAAATCAAAGAGTTGATTAATGTAATGGCAGGTATCTTCTACACGCATCTGTTTATAACATCATCTCTACATCAAAGACTTATTTCTTCTGTGACCTAATTATTACATCACTTAACTTGCCAAAGTTGTGGACACGAGCAATATTTCAACAGAATTCTGCACACGTAAAACAAAGATATAGTTTATACCTCCCCCCTTTTACTTTTATTTCCGAAAGAAAGCAGTAAAGTCGAGGCGAATCCAAAGTAATTTGAAGGTTCAAAGCGAATAGTAGGCGGTCAGTTAACTATACCAGTCCTGTGTAAAACTCTTTCTCGACGCAACGAAATAAAGATGAACTGTCCGTGTTTTATGAGGCAAGAAAGAGGTCCTCTGGACTTATTGATGAGAAATGCTGTAACTCTTGCCAAAACAACACCTGGGCGTATCTTTTACTAGAGTTTTACTGACGTGTGATGTCTGGTAGTGTGTCTGAAAAACTCAACCTTTAAAAATTTATACGTTGAATCTTCACAATATAAATATTTTCTTCTTCCTCTTCATCTTCTTCTTTTTTCATTTCTCCTAATATCTTTTTAAACGATTATAAAAGATAAAAATAAAATAGGTTCTCGTAAGTGAGAATTGCTCTATTAAATTTCTATCTAGAAATGAATTTAAACAATAATAAAATTTCCGTTGATCGTTATACAAATGCAAATGAAAACTGTGCACATGTGAAGATGTAAATAAAGTCTTGACAATGATACATTGTGATATTGTCTGTGCGTTCTGCTATTTCTGTTTATTGTTCTTTTTTGTAATGATCTGATAATAAAAGAATAAATCCCGATTACGGACTTAACTTTAATTTTTCTTTCTGTTTTTTTTTAAATAAAAATCTTTCAAATTATTGTAAATATATAAGCAAATTTAAATGTCTATTGATTAAAATCACACGAGTTCATATTAAACATGCATTTATTCATTATTAATTTCGTATTAATATATATTAATTAATTAATTAATATACATAAGCAGTTTTAATTAATATGTACTGTACATTAATTTATAATTTCATTTAAGTTTTTCAAATAACAAACTATTTAAAACATTTTTAATAAAAACAATTATTTATTGTACCATAAAGATAAATAGCATTTACACGTTTTTATTTCTTTAAATCTTTTACATTAACAAACCTGTGCATGTAAAATATATATAAAAATATAGTAAAAATATTTTTATAAATCGTTCAAAGTGAAAAGGTTAAATAGACATTAAAAGTCAACTATTTTGAATATTTTATTTTTAAATATATTTATTCAAAAATATGACAAAAGCTAAAAAGGGGAACAGAAAACAGAAAGATTCTTCAGTTTCTTTCGATAAAAAAATATAATAAAAGTTTAAAATTGATTGCTTTGTCAATTCAACATCCATCAAATCTACGAAGATGATAAAAATGTCATATAATTTTATAAATTGCAATTATAAAAGCTAACGAATATTTTATCAAATTATAAAAACTTAACAATATTATTATTCAGTTTGCATATAGAAAGTCTAATAAATATAATAAGATATTACTTTATTTTTATTTTATAATAATAAATAAAAAAAACTGTATTATGAAATAATAAGTGTAACAATCATTAAAACTGCTATAAAATCCGATAGAAACAAATGAATATTTTTAAACATTAAATAAAGTTTTAATTTAATAATAAAAGAAAATCAAGGGGAATATTTTAAAGAAATTTTGGATCGATGAATTTTGAATCTAATCTTTTAGATGATATTCCTCTTCGAGTTCTTCCATTTGAAAAATATGAAATGAAAAAATTAAAAAGTGGTGATTTTACTGATATTTGGGCGGCATTGTCTTGTAATACTCAATGTGATTTTGTTATAAAAGTATTTCGTAAACACGCGATAACTGAAGAATATGTGGATAAATTCATTCGGAGAGAAGTTCGTTCGATGGAACAAGTTAATCATCACAACATCATCAAATTCCTGCAAACCATAGAAACTAAATCAAGGTAACTTTATTCTTTCGGGACCATACGAATATTTATATAATTTTAAGTATTTATTATTTAAACAGAATTTATTTAAAATGTAATTTATATTTAATAAATAAAAAAATAGATATGAAGACAACCTTTAGGATAAATCAGGTTGTAAAGATAAAATTTAGACATTTTGAAGAAAGCTTTATTGACAATTAACTCGACAACGATTAGTTCAGCCTTGTAGAAAATCACCACCAAAAAACAATCTCATCTCGCATCTTTGTTGCAAACTTTCAATTCCACGAGCATAGAACGACTGAGGCTTTCCTTTGAAAAAGTCGCGAGCGTTGGGTATTGGCATTGAACTGTATATTGGCAATATGGTTCAGCAACATGCAAAATGAATTCTAATCAGTTCTGGCGCCAAGTATGAGCTGTAAAATGGATGAGATAGAACCTCTAGACTGACCAGTTTCCCTAAAGTTACTTTTGCTCTATGCGTGGCGATATTGTACTTCGTCAATTTTTGGACGAAGTTCTTTGATCTTAGTGCTCAAACGATCCAGTTGTTCACAGTAGAGTTCTTTCGTGGCAGTTATGTTGGCTGGAAGTAGCTCAGTCGTTATGACGCCAAACAAATGAAGATCATTTCCTTCTGCACTAGTGATCCTTTGACATTTGCAACAGCCGGTTGACCTTGTTCACCCGTGAACGATTTAACAAACGCTTTGCAGACGAAATCGTGAGCCTTCGTTTGTGGCCACTTTTGAAGTGATGGAGCAATAGCACGCGAATGGGCTCTTTCATGTAGCCAGACATTGCTGATTGTTGATTCCAATGAAATATATGATGAAATGCCTTCTGGTTGCTCTACTTATACTTATAACGAACGTTCTAGAATATTTTGTTTTAGTCATTTCTAGAAAATGTTTAAATTTCACTTGTACAACTGATAGATCACTGATACAAATTTCGAAATACACAAAATATGCAATGAAATAATTAATTTTTAAATGTCTTTGAGGCCTGGACCAAATGAGACTATATTATTGACATATCTTTCAGTTATAAGTCAATAGTAATATCGTAATTAAGGGAATGAGTGCAATTGTGATAAATGAATTTAGCGATTAAGGTTATTTCAAAGCATTTCACATGAAAAAAATTATAAAATGTACAATTAAGATTTAATTCTATTTTAATTTTGATGAAGTGTGTATAAATAGACTTAGCGATAAACATTTTATTTAAATAATTTAACAAAAGAAATATAATCGACACCTGAAAGAATGAAAAGTTATGTAAATGTTAAAAATAAATAGAAACTATAATTTTTTAGTTAAAATTACTCATAATTAAATAATATTTTAATCAAAAATGCACAATAATGCACTGAACGAATAGTAATTATCATGGTTATATAACCATACTTCTTCACCCAAAATTCTTTTAAATATATGTGTATATAAAATAAATTTTGTAGTTTTATATTATTAAAAGTTAATTAGACTATAGAGAATTAAACTTTGACTTAATCAGACATGTAAATAATAATATATTCTGTCATTTATATACTAATAGAAAACATACCTTGTTAAGTAATTGGGCAAAAAAACTATAGAGATATTGTTCGTTCCATCCTTCTTCTACTGTGAAAGGAACAAATTAGAGAAAAGAGATTCTAGTTTAGATGAAATACTCTTTGGATCTTGCAAGTTCCATGTGGCTGCCACCATTACAGTATTTTAACTACTGAAGTAGAGTAGTAGCCACTTAAATAGTTACTACAACGATATAACATTTTTAATATATTGATGCAAAATCAGTAGCTCGTTAATCTTACGTAACCTATACAGTATATTATAGCAGTGGTGCACAAAATTTAGGAATTGCAGCTCTTATTTTAAAAATATTTTATGTAGTTTGGATATTTGGATTTTATCAAATTGAGTACAAAACTAAGTATTTCATTCCTGCAAGTACCGCTACAGATAAGCTATTAACATAGAGCCTGACAAAACTAACGAATTATTTACACTTATGTATTCACACTTTTTGGGATAAAAACATTAGTTTTTCACAAAATATCTGGAATAATATATTTATTTGATGTTTATACTCGCGCGATTCTTCAGAGATCAAGATCCACAGTTGCGTATTGCAACTACTGCATTGAAGGTTTCTAAACTTTTTAAATATTATAAAATCGTTAGGGTTGTGCTTCATAAACTTTTCATGAAAAGAATATCGAAACGATAATTTTTAAAATTTATTTCTTAATACAAAATTCAAATTCTTTTAAAAGAATTTTTTCAATGTTAGTTTTTAAAAAACTGAAATATTAATTTTTTTTAAAAATATAAATAAATGAATGTATTTGATCTTCCAGAATTAAAATTATGGTTGCAGTTCTTTAAAAAGAAAAGATGGAAAAGGCTCTTGCTTAACTTTTCCAGCACTCGAACTCGGTTGAGGGGTCCAGAAAATCTGATCATTTTCAATTACGCTACGATATAAAATTTAAATAATAACAAAAGCTTAAGAAGAACAATTTTGTATTGACTTATGAGAAATTTTTCTATTCAAAGTAATATTTAAGTTAAAAAAAAAAAACACTAAGATACATTAACACAAAGTTAAAATTGTGTATTGGGAATGTTATGAAATTTTATATTAATTATTATATAAAGGCAAAAGGCTTAATTTTTCAGGGTAGAGATGAGTTTTTAAAAACATTACAAAGTCCAATAACAAGTAAAATTTTCACTAAATCTGATCCCATTCGAGATATGTCACATGACTCTTCTCTATCTTCTCAACCACCTTGACTCTTAACCATCAAAATTTAATAGTATCAATGTCCATATGTAGAAATAATTCTGCTAAATTCCAAAATTCTTGATAATCCAGTCCTGAAATACTTGTATAATGCAAAATAGACGCCGACGCATGCGGAATTTTATGTGTATCTTTGTTTTATATTTTTTGGGCTTCTTGAGAGTCCAAATGTCAAGAAATGAAAAAAAAACGTCAAAATTTGATCGCGCATCATACTTTTCCTATGTTATATGCTGTAACAGCCGGAAAAGTAAAACACTGAACAATTAAAACAGCAGAACCAATTCTAGTCATACTGCATAAATAAATTAAAATTCATTAGTGAAAAATTTATTGATTTTACTGTAGAACGAGTAATTATTTATCGTGATATCATCACAATGCTGGGCTGTAATATTTAATTATCTTTTAATTTTAAAAACTTGCGTGATTTCCGGTCCAGACTGGAAGTTCGTATATAGGTAATCAGAGTATTCGACCCATAAACTTTTCATATTTTGATTATAGCGGTATCTTGCCCCTGTACACCATACTTTCCCTGATACAATCGAGTCATGCCATTCATCTAACTAAATCCGTTCTCGAGAAAATTGAAATCACATGACTTTCTGTCTATACCGGAATTTTATATATAAAAATTTTAAAAGTTGAGCAGGATTATTTCTTTATATGGGCATTGATGTCTTTAAATTTTGGAGGTTAAAAAGTCAAGGGATGGGAAGATAGAAGGTAGTCGGGTATCATAACTGGAATGAGGCTAGACTTAATGAAGATTTTACTTGTTATTGTCATTTACAATATTTGTAAAAACTCATCTCTACCCTCAAAATTAAGTCTTTTATATGTCTTTTTATAATAATTAATAATATGAATATATTTTAAAAATAAAATTTCATAATAGATAGCACCATACACAATTTTAACTTTGTGCTAACGTGTCTTATTGTTTTATTTTTAAACTTAAATACTTTTTTAACAGAGAAATTTCTCATAATTCAACAAATCACTTCTCTTAAGCTTTTGTCATTATTTAAATTTTATATCGTAGTATAATTATTAGACTTTCTTTCTGGTCCTTTAAATTCCTGTTCGAATGCTGGGAAGAGTCTCTTGCCAGCTTGTTTTTCTTAGTGTTCAGTTTTTCATAATTTTACGTAAAATATTTAATTTCTTTGTTTTTTTAATCCTATTGTATTGAATATTATGATAATTAATGGGCAAAATAAGAATTTATTGGAATATTAAAGAAAACTTTGAAAAATCGTCCAGTCTGAGACATTATATATAGGGGAGATCGGGGCAAGATCGGCATGTTAAGCTTTACTTAAATTTTGTGTAATAAATACTGCACTAAACTGAAAAAAAAGCTTTGCATATTGTCTATTGGAATGTTACCTTACTATAGAACTGGTTAAAATCAGTTTGGAAATAAAAATAATTAAAATAATTACAACTTTACAAGAAGAGAGAAATTGACGAAGTTGCCCCGGGTATAGGGGCAAGATCGGCAACTTCTCTCTTTTTGTAAAGTTGTAATTATTTTAATTATTTTTATTAAAGTTGCCCCTGGTATAGGGGCAACAGTAATGGGGCAAGATAGGCACGTATATAAAATTATGTTATTAACAATGTATAAGTTGGAATTCACTATTAAAACAAAGAAATACAAATCCAACACCCATTTAATATTATTACAACGAAATGCAAGTTCAAAGACATATATACATGAATAACAAATGCAAACATGTTTTCATTTATCATCTGTTTGATTTTTATCCTTTGCTTCTAATGTGGCTTTATGTTGCCGATCTTACCCCGCTAGTCATGATTTCGAAACATTAAGTACAACCCTGAGAACAGAATGCCAAGCCACGATCTGGCCACGTGAATAAGTTGAAGTTACATCCTTCTAACAGGAAAAGTAACTTTCGTTATCATGGAATTATAACAAAACCTGCCAATTCAATATAAATGGAAAAAAAATATTATATGGAATTGAACGAAAATGAAAATTTGCTTGATAATTCAACTACGCTTGTTGGAGAACAATAAAAACACTACACTCAACAAGCCACCAATAAAACTCAACTGCCTAACCTATAACCAAAGTCTCCTTTTATTTTGTTTTTTAAAAAAAGCGCTTGACAAACTTGCCCCGCCTGCCGAAGTTGCCCCGATCTCCCCTATATATATAAATTTCGATTCATTTTCGTAAAGAACGTTTTAAAAATATTGTAAAGTAATTTAATAAAATAAATTGATGATATATACAAGAATATTTAACATCAAAGTAGTTTATATCAAGCAAGTTTATATCAACCGAACGAAGCAACAGATAATAATTTGAACAATATCGAGTGACCAAAATAACAAATTTATTGTTAAGGATTGTTCGTTGAGTTTTCGTTCATGTTATTAATAAATAACGAAAGATTAAAACTAAAGAATTGTAAAAACTCTACGAAAAGAAGATAATTTTAAAAGTATAGATGCAAATGGATGAACAATTTGTTTCGTTTTATGTATATATTATGTTCTGCATATAGCCTATACTATACTTATATTCTGCTAAAAATTATTTCCTGCTTAAAATTTTTAAATTAATTAAGTAAAATATAAAGACGACAATAATCAAAAATTTACGAATGAAGAAAAAATACTAAATTAGAGTAAAAGTGTCATCACAATTCGTTCCCTTTTATGGCTCGGGATTGGATAAATTAATTTGAAAAGGACTATGCAGGGTCGACCTTTATTTTGAGGTTTTTCACATTGTCTATTACTTCTGAGCAAACCTATACTTTATATATTTTAATTTTCTGAATTATTCACATACCATATTTCTAATTATTATTTTACCAAGAAATTAGTCTAATGCAACTTATGACAACAAATTGCATTTTTATTATATATAGTGCAAACGTTGTTTCTATCAACAATAAAAGCTTCAGGTTTGTGTTGATGCGTTTTATAGTTTTAAATATAATTCCACAGGTAAAGAATATTGAATTAAATGTGAATTCCCACCCTTTATTGACCTGTAAAACGAGAAATCATTGTAATTCAATATCAATCGTTTTCGAATTGTGAGAAATATTGACATGAAATTTTCGGACCTTTACAGCATAAATTTAATTAAAATTAAGCACCCGAAAACAAAATAAAGTTCAATTTATAAGAGTAATTTTCTAGCTCTTCACGTATTGAATTGAACAGAAAATTTGGATATATTCTTAAATATAATTATTAAAAAATTATGAGTGATATTGATAATTCGAAGAAAGTCACGAAGCATGGATAAAATTATGAAGTACATGGAATAGCTTTTAATCAATATTCACTTGCAACATCTAAAACAATACATCGAAACGGAAGTAGTCTCTATACTTAACTTACTAAACATTGATGATAATTCTTTATTTGGATCATTTTTCACTTTCAAATAAATTCATTAATAAAATACTGACAAGAATTTCAATTACAGTGGAACCTCGGTATACGACGTTAATCCTGATGTTCGGACTTATACCGAATTGGACGTATACCAAACCAACCTTTCCCATAAGAAGTAATGTAAAACTGATTAATCCGTTCTCATGTAAAAAAAAATGGCTGGCTTTAAACACCTCGCTTTCCTGGCTAGTTCCTGCTTGACTTTTCATGAGATCAGCGTGTATCTTTTTAGCTTTCTCGTAAATAATTGCTTCCGATACGCTGTCTCCAGCACATTGTTTTTCAGTTATCCAAAGCAAAAGCAATTTCTCAACATGATCTAAATGTCTTCGATCTCTCTTTAGAAATTGATTTAACTCTTTTCGCAACGTTAGCGTTAGCAGATTTAATAATGTCTTTATTTTTCACGATTGTCGATATTGTCGTTCTCGGAATACGGTATGCAACAGTTAAAATCTCGAACACGCGTGCCATCTTCATATTTCTCAACAATCTCTTTTATCAGTTTCATTGTGATTCTAGTCATTTTTTTAGTTTTCTGTTGCTTTTCATTTGCCTTCCTGCAATTCATGATTAATTAAAATAATAAAATTTTACTTACAAATTAAAATCAGAAGAAATTTAACAAAGTTATAAACCGTTGCACCGCGAACGACTAGTCTGGTCTAGTATATCGATAGTGCTACTTGTTCATAGATGACGCGTATAATTGAATTAAGTCGTATACCGAACAAAAGTCGTATACCGAGCAAAATTTGTTTCGTCCAAACAGGACGTATTCTGAATTGGACGTATTCTAAAGCAGACGTATACCTAGGTACCACTGTATTCTAACTTGAATAATTAAAAAGTTTGAAGTAGTTTTTTAAATTTTATTATTTAACTTGTCATTTTTAATGTTTTTAAATAGTTTTTGCGTGTTGATGGAAATGGCCAGTAAAGGTAGTTTACTAGATATCATTACTGAAGAAAAATCCTTAGACGAAGCAAAAGCTAATCGCTGGTTCCATCATTTAGTTCATGGAGTTAAATATCTTCATAACAAGGTGTTCTACATTATTATTATTATGTTGATATTAAGTGTATAACAATAGGCTGGCAATTCCTTAATTAATTAATTTATTTTTTAATACTAAAGGGAATAGTTCATAGAGATTTGAAAACAGAAAATTTGCTAATCGATGGATTTGATATCTTGAAAATATCAGATTTTGGATTTTCAAGAAGCTATATGCCAATACTTAATGAAGAAGACAAGAATAATATGAAAGACATAACACCATTACTGTGCCATTCTTTCTGTGGTAGTTATGCTTATGCTTCGCCGGAAATTTTAAATGGTACGCCATACGACCCACGTCTATCAGACATTTGGAGCATGGGAGTTGTTCTTTATGTAATGGTTTATGGACAGCTTCCATTCGATGATGAAAATTTCATAAAATTACAAAAACAAGTTGAGAAAAAAGTCAAATTTCCCTCCAAATCAAAGATATCAAATGGTTGCAAAGCCTTGATAGAAGATATATTGAAACCTTTCAATACGAGAATTTATATTCCAGAAATTGAAAAAAGTAAGTGGTATACAACAAAGTGGAACACTGTATGGGATTCCGAACTACAAGAAGCGTATTTAAGACATAAGCAAAAATATCACAGTGTTTTTCTTAAACATTATCATGTTCCAGCAATAACAAATACAATAGTACCAAAATCAGAAATATTGGAGAATAAAAATATATCAGTTCCTATCGGTTTTGATATACATCTTCATATCGACATCTCCGAAGAAATCCAGAAAGAAAATAAGACTAAAAGTAAAGCCGATACCACTTTTGACAAAAGTATTAAACCAAAAGTAGATTCCTCAACGTGTCTTCCCACTAGAGGCGATTCAAAAATATTAAAAACTGATAATTCAATCACGTATGATGATAGATCAATTGGAGGTGTGCCTATCAATAAGTTAGATGAAGATTTTTCGAATAATAATTGGACCAAACACGCTTTAAAAGATTCTCGTGGTTTACAGAGCGCATTTAAAAAAATTTACAATAAAAATGCTCTGAAGTCTAAGAAAAATATACAAAAACGTAATAAAAAACAACAGGATTCATCTAATTCATATTCTTCCGCAGTTCAATATGAATTTATTTCAAATGCTTCTGATAATTCACATTCTAACAAAGTTTCTCCGAAGTTTTCTCCATCTTCTAACGCCTTCGATAACTATGATTCATGTGATCCTTATTTCTTCGTCGACGAGACATATTTTAAGGAAACTTACAAAGTGTTTGAATACAAAGAATTGCAAGATATGAATGAATATTCTTGTGAAAATTTTCAACCATTTGACATGCATCAGCTTATGATAGCAAATACAGAGAAATCAGTATCCACAAATGACCAAGCTTCGGTTCCTATGTCATCGAAAGGTGTGTCTTTATGTAATCATCATGATGTCACTCAGAAAATTAATGGATTTACACAAGTGGAAGAAACACAATTTAAAAAGACAATGGATGCGTCAATGTTACAAAAAATGAAAAATTTCGTAGGTAAACGAAATTCTCAAAATGAAATTGAGAAGAATCCATCCGGATCAGTCATACTTTGTCCATATTGTTTAAGAGAAATCATATTAAAATATAAATCGAGGAAAAGAAATGGATCTAAGTTATTTGAATAAAAACGAAAATTAGGAATCAAATTAAAACAAATTATTAAAATATTTTATTTAAATAGTTAATAATAAGTTACAGATACAAAATAAAATAATTATTTAAAAAATTCTACAGTTTATCATTATTATTTAATTACTATTTTGTGGGCTTGTTTAATTTTTTAAATTCAAATTTAAAAAAATCATTGCAATTTTTAAAATAATTGTTAGAATCTAAATATTCAAATTACTAAAATCTATTTTATAATTTATAAAATTAATTTAATTCGCGTTGTCTTATGTGTTCAATACTTTACTTGGTGCATAGCAAGAAAGAGCCGAGTAAGACCTACATTCAAAGAATCTGCTTCGTTTTCTCTTGGGTAATTCCACAAGAGATTTCCTCTCCCCATAGCAATTTTCCCCTATATTAAGGTCAAGGATCGTTTTCTTCATATATTAAAAGTAAAGACTGCTCGCAGTGCATAAACTTATACAAACCTTGAATTATTAGACAGAATATTTAGAATAACAGAAAGTATAATAAATAAATTAAAAAGTATAATAACATAGTTATAATAAAAGTAATTGCTAACATTATTTTCAAATGCAAGTTTAGCAAATTGTTATAATTCTACTCAATATTGATTAGTAAAAAGCAATATAATTAGAAAAAAATTCTTAAACGCAGTTTACTTTATACATCAATATCATTTTTACTTTTCCGGCCGTTATATATAACAGAAAGTATGGCGATAGGTCAAAAAATGACCCTCCCCAAAATTGAAATATCGAAAAACGCAAAAACATTTTGGGGGTTTTTTCTGTTTGGATGGATTTTAGTTTGTGTGTGTTTGGAGTGCACGATTTTGTTCACCCTCTTTGAAGCTTAATAACTCCTATACTTTTTGTCGAAACTTTCTGAAAGTTTGCGAGGAGGTTTGTATTAGAAGGATTGATACAATTAAATGTTGGTGTTTAAAGGTCAACGAAGTGGGGGAGATAAGGGGTCGTATCTCGGGTAAGATCGGACTTAATTGCGATTTTACTCGTTAATAGCATTCACAATTTTTTATAAAACCCATCCTTACCTCAAATTAAATTTTTGCCGTTTTATAACAATTAAAAATGTGAAAAATTTTAAATAATAAAATATCCTAACAGATGGGCCGCATACTCAGTTTTAAATGTTGCCGGAAAAGTTAAAGAACTAGTTGCTGGATTTTTACAAGAGTCATCTATATATATACATATATAAGTCTGTTTGTTCCCTATTATATATATATATATATACAAACATTCTTATATATATATAAGAATGTTTGTCTGTTTGTTCCCTACACACATCTACAACGTTTGACGAATTGCTACGAAACTCGGCACTTATGTTTATATAAGCCTCACTTAGACAATGCCGTAATCCCACCCAAAAAATATCTATTGAAGTTTTGTAAATCAATTACTTTCTTTCTACATTAGATTTGATCATTTACATGTAGCGTCATCTATTGGCAAAAAATTTAACAAAATAGTAAACTAAATACAGTAGATCCCCCTATAAGACGGTAGATACGTTCCGTTCTTTATGAATCAATTTTGTAGGAATCATAGTTTACGGACTACGGCTGTTTGAAAGGTTTTCTTTCATAAAATTAATCGATTCTAGACTAATTCGACTCAACATTTCCAAAATACGTATATTTTTTTTAAAATAATCCGTATAAACTACGTTATAAACAAAAAATTGTAGGATTACTTACCGAGTGTGTACCCTTTGACTACGCTCGTTGCTAAAGCTTGGTTTCGTCGCGGAACAGCGCATCAAATTGCGGCCGCGATTTCTGATATTATTTTTCTGCGAAAACTTCGTTGACCTTTGGAGACATCATTAATATAAATAATTTTTATGGCCGTTAAATAAGAAATGTTTCTTTCACAAGAAATGTATAAAATTACAGTACTGGACAGACGATAGGTCGCCTAACTCGCCGTAGCGTGACGCTAGACGGCGAAAAATATATATTTAATTATAATAAAGTTACAATAAATTAAGTTAATATATAATTATATATACAGTACCTAATTTATATATAATTAATATATAATTATATGTACAGTACCTAATTTATATATAATTTATATAATACTGTCCAGACGATAGAAATCTCTCCGTAGCGTGGCGCTACGGACAGCGGGTAAGTAGTTCGGCTGCCCGATGACGTTTTACGTATTATAGGAGTTATTTTTACCGTTGTTTACGGATAATGCCACAATTTTTATAGGAATCATAACTATAGGAAACGGTTTTATAGGGGGATCTACTGTATAATTCTTAAAATGCGTGACATTAGGCACTTAAACCCTTACGTAAAATAACATTCGTAGTTATATAAATAAAATACTATAATATAGTATAATAGAAAGGTTAGAAGTATGAAAGAATCTAATAATCTTAATGTTTGTTGTTATATTTTGCCCGAGCAACGCCGGGTTCATCTGCTAGTTACGTATATTTGTAAACAAATTAACAAGTATATACTATTGTTATCTGTTTAAAATTTCCAGTCATAAAAATACAAAAGTCATAGATGGAAAGCAATCTTATAGAGCATTATATTATGATTTACAATTAAATATATTATATATAGTATTCAGTTAAATTATATATAAACGAAGCATTTCTTACTGTTGCTATACTCACAATTACAATGATACAGAAGTATAACAGTAGATATCATTAAAACCGTTAAGTATTAGTTTTGAATGCTGAATAAATCAGCAGTTAAGATTTCTTGCATCTTTAGAATTTTCCTGCTTCACACTTTATTAAATGAAGTCTATAAAAGAAGCATTTTTATATTGAGGAAGAAAAGAAAATAAGAAAAATTAAGAATAAAAGAAAATATGTTATTATAAAACAATACATTAAGAAGAAAGAATATAATAAGAAAATGAAATACAAAAAATTTTTTTATATTTTTAAGATATAAAATGTTTTTATAAAGAATTGTTTCAAAATATGCAAAATAGGGCTTTAACTATTCTCTGATATTTTATAAAATATATCGGATTTTTCCCTTATTATTTCATAGGATTTAAGTTTACAGGCTGGATCAAGCAGATTCAAAACCTATAAAATTAATTCAGAAAAATAATTCATGTAATTTATTTTCGTAAACTAAGTTAGCACCAAATATTGCTTACTGTGTGCTATAATTAGATCTTATTTTTATGGTTCTGAATTTATATTTTAGATTATATATTAATAAATTCACTAAACGAAAATAAAACTATATTGATAAATATAACCTCATTTTATATGACTTTTTTTATGAGAATATGAATATATTGATCGGTCTCTACATCGATCAAGAGCAATATCAAGTTGTACACGTGCATTTTGTAAACAAATGCACGTGTGTTTGTTGTTATGCTGTGATTTATTTTCTGTTATTTTTTTTATTATATTTGGATAATAAGAAAAGGGTGTAGAATAATTAGTTCATTATATTACCAATGAAATACAGGAACCTAAATTACAGCTGTAAAAACAGCAAGAAAAATGCAAGAGTCTACATTCAATTCCTCATTGCGTCAAGCAAAGTAAATAGGAAAATGGAATCTCTATAGAAACTACAAAATTAAAGCAAATTTTTCGTAAAACTCTTTCGAAAGTAATAAATGAAATTGTATATTAACGATATATCATTAATCGCTGATTAAAATTTATAATAATTGTTAAAAACCTATTTCTATCGTGATTTTAAGTAAAGAATTATTAAAGAAATTTAGTGACATTTTTGCTGTTTCATTAATATTAATGACACTCATAACTGATTTTTTGTACGAATTTTATCAACTCTTCATCACTATTAGCATTTTTTCAAATAAATTCTTTAAAGTTACAAACTCTTTCAGCCTTGAAGAGATTTCTCGGCTTCGTTTAGCTTCTTTTCGATAAAGCTAATTAATTCAAATAATTTAAGATACGTAATATTTTAAAAAACTTTTGTAAAACATCTATCATTAAATAAGACCATAGACGGATATATTCAAACAAAAGAAATATAGAATAAAAAGTGTATTTGCTCTGTGAATGGTCATTAAATACTTGTTATTTTTTTACACAAACTAGTATACGCACATACACATAAATTATAAAATTGTTATATAAAGTTTATCAATTTTATTATATGGAATTTAATTTAATTGTATCTTATAATCCACTAGAATATATATTAATGCATCTTTTAAAATAAACTTTTAACACATTCAACATAAAAATTTAATGTAAAATATCCATAAGATAATAATAAAGTTCATTCATGAAATGCGACTGATCGCGATCAAAATAATACAATAAAATTAAATATTATACAATGAAGTAATAATTTTGCATTGTATCAAACATTGAACATTATTTACTAAATAACTATTCAAACTTTTATACACGGTGTTCCATAAGTCTGGAACCATGGGAATTATATTGACCTTTGTTTATTCTTTTACAAGTAAAGCACTGACTAAAGTGCTGTAAAGACGTGAAGTAGAATGCTGAGTAAAGACGAACAAATTCATGTTATTTTGATGGTATGAATACAGTCAAAGTGATGTTGTCGAAGAGTTCAACAGGCTGCTCCAAACTTTCCACCAATCACACGCAGCAGTATGGATGCAGCCTGTTAAACTCTACTGCAAATTCTCACTTTATGAGATCCGGTGCAGTCTGATCCCATTTTATTTCTCTAAGATCACTCTTAAGGCTCTATCTCCCAAAGCTCTAAAAATGTATAAATAAAATCGTTAAAACCACCAATAAAAACCAAATTTTTCATTGTTTATCAAAACAAGGTTTAAACTATATTCACTTTCGTATCATATTTTTTACATAAGAACCTAAATTTTGGGGATAAATTAGGATGGCTCCTATCTCCTATATATTTATATAACTATAACTGTACATAATTTACACGAATACTTAATAATTACTTAAGTATTTATGTAATACAGTCAAACCTCCAATAAGAGCAACATCCCTAAAAGACCAATTCTAAACAGTAAAGTAAACTTTTATTTTTAATTTTGGAAGAAAAA